AGCGCATTGCGAAACACAAGGGTTTTTTGGAGATACGCGCGTAAATTTTACCAGGAGGTTAACGGTAGTAAACTTTCCCTGCACAGATTGGCTTAGTTATCTGAGAACCCAGTTGAAGGTGTTTATGGGCGGAGTTTGTTTGCGAAGCAAAAAGATTTTTCTTAGCGCTGTTTTTTCGAATAAATTTTCTCGCTTGAAGCAGACACTTTAAAGATTTATAAGTCAAAGGGAATTTGTTCAATTGCCCTCAAATTTGGACAGTAGCTAGTTTAACATATAAACTACAAAAGAGTGTCTGCGAATTGTTAATTTCGAAGTACTTTTTCTTCGAGAGCGATTTTTGTACGATCACTCCACATTTTTTAAATCCTATTTCGAAAATGTTCTGTAACTTTTTACTGCAATTGAATATGGCAAAACGCAGACACATATTTTAAGCGCTTTGGGCCTTGAAACCGAGGAAAAAATTAAATTGGCGAAAAACAAAATTCGTCTTGACTTGTAGCTTTCGAAAGGTGATTCGGGCCCTCGCATTTAGTGGCCGTGAAAAATTCGACAATTCATTTCAAAATTCTTGGTGCAGTTTGATAGCCAGCTCTATAAGCTTTAATTTGATACGGGGGTTTAGGTATCTACCGCTTAAACCGGACGCATTATATCGCTTGCACGCATTGTTGCATTGTTGCATTGTTTACTACTTGCAAAGTACTACCTATACTACCAGAAAATGTACTATAAAGCTTGCAATATTACTAAATTTGTGTTAAAATTGGAACAAAAACTACTTATTGAGAGTCGTAGTAAAAGAAAACTTCTTATGTGAAAAAGCTTCTGCCCTTTAACACGTCTTGTAAGTAACTTCGTTTCTTGTAATAACGTACTATATTTTATATTTTAGGGTTTTGTGTTCGACTGCACTATTTTTTGTATTATCTTAGTTTTACCTTTACTCAATTCTTTACTTAATCCTTTGTAAGTAGTCTTTCTTTCTTTTTATCCGTTCTGTGTAGAAAATGTAGTATTGGGTTGTAAGTAGTGTAAGTAGTGTATTGTATTCTTTTTTTTTTGTAAGTAGCGTAATTGTTAATAAACGGCAAGTTTATAAATAATAATAATAATAATAATAATAATAATAATAATAATAATAATAATAATAAAAAACAATATCGCTTGCACGCGAGACACCCCTGAAGGTATACGGTAATCTTAATTCGGTGGAACTTTCGAGGGTGGAATCGTGATGGTATTCAAGCTGCAACTTTCAGCTTTCAAGTTTAGTTTACGTTGCTTAGAACAAAAGGTTACTTGAATTGCATTTAAGGTTAGCTTAATTTTTAAGTTGTTCTGCTACCTCGTAAATTGAAAATTCGGCTTACTTGGGTCGTTATTTTGGGGTGATCTGTAATTTTTCAAGGTCAACGCTTACACACCAACTAGTTCCACCAGTTCAAGGCTAGTCTCCTTCGAGCTTTTGCGTTAACCTGGAGTAATCATGTATGGACACCGTCCTTCAAATTGGTGGCTTTGTTAATTTCGTGATTCAAAATTTAAGGCAACTATACTTTTCCTCTTCACAAAAGAGCAGACGTTAAACAAGATGACACTTTCAAAGTCAAAATTCGTTCACCTTTAACAAAGTGAAGTAAAAAGCAAGCATTAAAATGCCTTGAGTAGAAATTAAACTAAAAAAGCCCTGGGTTTTTGAATCACACTTGAAGGTGATTTATAAGTGTAAGTTTTATAAGGGACAGGTAAAAGAAGAACAACAAGAAGCAAAGATCAGAAAACAAAAAGACATAGGTGCGAGGTGATATCAGACGTTTAAGATACTTAGAGTGAAAACCCAGGCGTGCGCGGGATACGCGCCAATAGTGTTATGTGGATCATTAATCTTGAAGTGACCATCATTCTATTTCTCCTAACCATTTTAATAAACTGACTTCATTAGTTGGAGTGTATTTTATGTACAAGTTGTTTTCGGGCTTTAAAGAACTTTATCAAAGATACAAAGTGATGTATAGATTATTATTATATGGAGAAGAGTGTTTTACTGGGAACTAAACCACTCGTAGATTCCATACGCCACTTCATCCGGGACCCGAGTGGCCACTCGAACATAAAATTCATATCTTCTCGCCACCGTGTAATATCCTCTATATATTACTTTAGCTCTATAGGCATATACAAACAAGACCATATGTCACTGTGACATGATCATTTATGTGATAATTTATGTGATCATTTACCTGTGTTCTGCACGCATCCACCTGAGTTATAAGTGAAACGCACTATGATTATCCACGCGTTATGTTTGCTTACACTCTTGTATGAGATGCTTAAATTATCGAGTACGTTAGTAGCTTGCTATTATCTATACGCTCGACTTTCTTGTTCATACTTTACACTCAGTTTTCCTTAAAGCGTGAAAGTCATTATCATTTTTATATACTCGTGTCTCTAGTATATAGTCATCATCTCTGCTTGAGAGATTCAATCTTTCCATCTCAAAGGATTTTCTCTTCAATGTGGAAGTTAATTTTTCGGACCCAAATTCAACTAATTGGAAAACGAAACCTTTGTAGTAACAGGAAATCGCTCATGAAGTAAACCATTTCATAGTCTCTGCAATTTTCAGCGTTGAAGTGTGATCACTCCAAAAATCTTGACAAAAGAAGAAACGCGCGTTCTATGAAGAAAGTTTGCAAGAAAACTCAGGAAAACGCATGACAGTCAGTAAGATAACTGAAAAAGAGTTATTTAACGAAAAATGTAATATAAAAATGAATATAAATTAGCCGGATTGCATGAATTGTTTTTCAACATTACAATGTTCAAATGTTCACAAATGTTAATTACAAACTGTCGTGCTTTGTAATTCCAAATTAATGTGTGTTACGATGTTGCTTTGATAAACTTACTTTAGCCCTTACTTCTACCACTGCTGCTTGTTCAAGCCAACTGAAACCTCAACTTATTTTGCAATAAAAATTTTCGTATATATTGGTCTTTGTTCTGATTGGTCGAAAGCAACATACAAGTTAAAAGTCATCGGAAAACTTAGCAAAAGAACCCAAAACGTTTAATAGATCAACTTCATCAAAAACCCAAGCGCGAGCCATGGACTGCAAGTCCATACTTGAGCTGACTCAGTCTTAGTCAAAGTGGAGTATCATATCGATCCTCTCTTTTACTTCCCTGCTTGCTTCCCACAAGAGAAATGTGGGAGGCCGTGGCACTTGCGCTTATAGCCTCCGCTCTGGAAGTGGAGAAACGATCACTTCCGTTAAAAAGACGCCCGCTGAGCCTGTGGTAAATCTGGTGTCTGAATCCTTCACGGAAGCTCTCATTGAAGACGAGATACAGACACGGGTTGATAGCAGTATTGGCGTGCGTCAAAAAATAAAGTGACAGAACCAACGACGTAGGTAGACAGCTGTACACATTGAAGTTAAAAGTCACCAGAAAGTGATTGACGTGTGCTGGAAGCCAACAAATGGCAAAAATTGTTACTATGGTGACCAGCATGGTGACAACTTTGCGCTTTTGCTTTTCGATGCGCTGATGGGTTTTATCAATGTGCTCTCCAGGAGCCTTTCGTTTCCACAGATGCAGCACAATCCTAGTATACAGAACGGCCATGGTGAGAAGAGGGATCAGGTATAACAGGACAAACCGAACGATCAACTCGTACATCGTGATTTTGTTCGACTCTTGAACATCTTCAACCCATCTTGATGCGCACATGACTTGACCCGCTGCGTTGAAAAGCTTGTACTTGTAGAGCTCACTGGCAAACACCAGGCCTGAAATAACCCATGTTGAGCCGATTGCTACAGCGGTGAGCTTTGGCGTCAGCGGCCTCCTCATTGTGTGCACGATTGCACGGTAGCGATCAAAGGTCATGACCGTCAATGTCAGGACAGATGTACCAATGGAAACAAAGGCAAGAAACGGCAAGGTCTTACATAGAAAGGCACCAAACCCTCCAGAGAACCACTTTACGCTCTCATACAGGTAGGCAATGGACAGAGGGATAGCAGTAATTACGTCAAGGATATCGGAGGCCGCCATGTTGACGATAAGCATGTTAAACGTGGTCTTCAGTTTTGGGTGGCGATGGACCACAAAAATTACAAGAGCGTTTCCTACCAAAGCCACAAAGAACACGATGAAATAGACAATGGTCAAGCCAACCTGTGTTGAGGGAGTGGCTGGTTGAATGACGCAAAGGCTCGAACCACCAGAGCCGTTAACTTTTGTTTCTACAAATATAAGGTACCGTATCCATCAATAAAAAGTCTGCAAGGATTTTAAGCTCATAAAGTATCAGCATATCAATGGTCCTAATACTCATGATCAGTTAATGAAGTATATATATCAATACAAAGTGTGCAAGCAAGATCAGTATCAGGTACTGATCGAAGTATGTGTATTACTGCCACCGTCATTAAGAGGTTAACGCCTTACTTGAAATCCATTGGTGTTTTCAAATATTGTTTGTCGCTTAATTGTAGATAAACACATTATGATCGACAGTATTAGTACCACCTCGTTTTCTGTTTGCCTTTCACAAAAAGCAATTTGTGAGTTACATACGAGTAATTATACACGTAGAACAAGCCGCATTTAATTTTTTCATCTTGTCTTTCATGCTTTCCTTATATCCTAGTTATCGTTCGTTTTTTAACTAAAACACTCTTGAGTTATAGATAAGTGAACATATTTATGCCAATTTATTCAATTTTGTGTTAATTTTGTTACTGATTTTGCGTCACAAAAGCGTTTTTCTTACATTACAGAGCAAGTAACCAAATGCCGATTACCGAAGGACGCAATCTTTCCCTGGCTTTTCTTTAAAATAGAAAAATAAAATAACTGACAAAGTCTTTTGTTACGAGCATTTAGAGATTATATGTAGGAAAAAAAAGCTTACAGGGAAACAAAGATCACTTTCAGATGTCCAAAACAATTGAATACCATTCCGGTTAAACTGCTGCATCAACACTAAAGGAGTGTAAGTGGATCTGTCAGCTTTTGTGATATAAGAGCACTTTATTTCTTAATTCCAGGCGTGGCTCTTCAGAAGATACTCAGTTTGTTAACATCCTTCGCATTAAAAAGCCGACCATCCTCTGCTAAATTTTACTGAAATATTAAGATCTCTGTATTTGCGCTGAAGCACGCCTTTTAACAAGCTCAAGTCCTTTTAACAAGCCCCGTTTAAAACGTTTCTTAGCCATTTCATCGAATCAAAATTACTATCAATTAGTTAACTGGAAGCTTACTTTACAGATTGCTAAAAACAAGTATGACAAATGCAAAATAAATACCTAGCCTCCGTCAGTGAACATGTGATAGTTTTGATTTCCTTTTTCTTATTTAAGAGATATTTAGAAAGTTACATTTAATTTTTTTTTTCTTGTCTCACTTTAAAACGTACAGTTACATATCAGCTGTGATACCTTTTCGTTAAAGAAAAATGTTTCTTTGGGTCGCCGAAACAAAAACAATATTTTTATCAGAATTGATAACTCTTTGAGCCGAAGATGTTTATGAGCTGCTGAGTAGATAAAAAGATAAGGATATCTGTCACAAGGACGCTTAATGTAGCTCTAAATCGATTACAGAATCGATGGGGATTCACTGAAAAGGGTAACACCTACCTGTGTAGTTTTCAGACATGTGGGCTTCGAGTATTTCCTTTTCAGATTGCTTGTTCTCGTTCAAATAACCACAACATCAGCCCAAACTGATTGGATTTATATAGTCGGCGTCGACGTGATAAAGGCAATCTTGATACGTGTGACAGTAAGCACTTAGCTGTCAACGAAATGAGAAAACATAAGTGTTTTTGGCAGTAAAGGAAAAATATGAAAAGTAATCAAATTGGGCGGATTGCATCAGCTGTTACTGACTACAATAGGTAATGTTGCGCCTTTAATAAAATTTTGTCAAACTGAAATAATGTAACTGCCAGTTGAAACACGCAAGATACCGATTTGAATGGTGTAGCATTAATTGCTACTTTTTACAAGCCTGTAGTGGACTGTTCATTTACAAAGATTAATTAAGTAACGTGGGAAAGTTTCCACTCTTTGTAAAGCGAGCTTCATTATATCGAAAAAAAAAAAACTAAATTAATCATTGTTAATAGACTGTAGGCAAATTTTTAGGGATTAAGGCATAGGGACAAAACACATCGACTAGAAAATTATTTCCCTTCAATGGTTATCTATCACAACTCCTCCGGCTGTTTTTTTTCTTCTTTCTACAAAATATCATTATGTCAATACTACTTTAGTTAAAAAAGAGCATTTCTAGAAAAATAGATGATATCTCGCACGGAAAATTCAAAATAGTATTTTTTTTTGTTTTTTTTTTTTTT